CAGGAAGACAGTGCCTGTCAACAGGAAGACAATGCCTGTCAGCAGGAGGACAATGCCAGCCAGCAGGAAGACAGTGTCAGCCAGCAGGAGACAGAGGCAGCTCCCGCTTATGAAGAAGAAAGCGAGCCCATAGTGGAGATGCCCAGGTGGGATAACAGAGAAGTCCTGGAAAAGCACCCAGTGCTTGAGAAGGTTCCAGGCATACAGTGTGGAATCCTAAAGGCATAAAGGGCCTGGTGCAGGACCATACCCACCTTCCCACTCTCAGCACCTGCCCTCAGTCCCTGGTACAGGGCTACCAGGCCTCATCTCAGAGGTAGATTGGGGACAGATACTCATGGAACCCCTGGTCTAGCTTGACGCCGTTGCTATGATAAAACACCCTGCTCAGAAGCAGCAAAGGAGAGGAGAGGGTTTATTTCTGCTTGTACTTTCAGGTCAGAGAGTCCATCCTTGAGGGAAGTTAGGCAGGAAGTTGAAGCAGAAGCCGCAGAGGAGTGTTGTTTGCGGGGCTTATGTTCAGCTAGCTTTTTACATAGCTCAGGGCCACTTGCCGAGGGAATGGTACTACCCATAGTGGGCTGAACCTGCCTACATGGATCAATAAGACAGTCTCCCACAGACATACCCAAAGACCACTCTTATCAAGGCAGTTCTTCAGTTGAGTTTTCCAATTCAGTCATCCTGTCAAATGACTCCAGGCTGGATCAAGCTGACAATTAAGACAATCAGGACAATCCCCCCCCCCTTTTTTTACAACAAAAATGGCATATCATTGTGTACTTACCTGCCCCTTGTTATGTTTGGGCAATGATATACTTGACACTTCCCATAACTCACCAGATGGAAATATTCGTCTTTGTTTTCAAAGTTGTATCGTATTCTATTCTATGGCTAGACCATAATTTGTTTGTTTGTTTGTTTGTTTTTAGACAAGGTCTCACTGTGTAGTCTTGGCTGGCCTGGAACTCACTGTGTAGAACAGGTGATCTGTCTACATATTCACAGAGGTCTGTCTGCCTCTGCTTCCCAAGTGCTGGGATTAAAGGTGTGTGCCCCCACCCCCAGCCCAGCTTTTACTTGCCTTCCACTGGTGACCGCTCTAGTCAGAGGCATGAACCTAGGAGAGCAGGGCCTAGAAATGAGGCGGACCAAAGTCTCATGCAATAGCCGACTTTATTCAGCGCATCAGACGACTAATACTCTGAGAATGAAGAAGAATCACAGGAGCAAAGTGTGCAATCACAGGGTCAGCTGCACGTGACGAAAACATGGTTTCTGTGGAGACCTGAACAGGTGACATAGCCAGCAGTGAGGAATGAGCTAGCATGAACTTGCTCCTGACCGCCCCACCTGGGGGATCAGGGAAGCACCTCCCAAGAACAATTCCATGCTTTTCAAGAAACTGAGATCACAAGACTCTTGTCTTGTTTTCTTGGGGTTTTCTCACAAGTACCCGCAGTTCCTCTCACACGACTCCATTCTTGGACTGTATCCCGACATTCCACCGGTGACATTTAGGTTGTGTGTTAGTCATGTTACGGTTGTAACCAAATACCAACTTCCACAGAAAGAAGGCCCGTTTTAGCTTATAGCTTCGGAAGTTCAGTTGGAAGGCGGTGGTCCTATGACCTTTGATCCCATGTTGAGGCATGGTAGGAAGGCAAAACGATGGATTTCATGTCAGGGAAGCATTTGAAAAAGAAGAGGCTGTTATGATGAGCAATCCAAGCTCCTGACCTGCATTCATTGCTGAGAAATACATAAGGGGAAACTGAGGCTCACTGAGGCTCAGAGCTGTCTTCAAGTCGCCATCAGAACAGTGTAGACAAGTTGTGGCTAGAGAGAGCGTGGGACTACTGGCGAGGAATCTCAGGTGGGACTGCGGGAAGTCCCAGAACACACAGCAGAGATGGGGTGAGGGGACTGGAGAGGCCCTGGAGGGATCATCTCTTGCCTCTTGCCTCTGGCCCTGACCTAGGGAGTTGCCTCAGATTCAAGAGGAAAGAGAAGATGAGGAGGAGGAGGAAGAGGAGGAGAACGGAGAGGAAGAGGAGCCTGTGTGAGTAACTTGTCCTGGGCTGGGCCGGTGGTGGGATTAGGGGATCCTGGGGTGGGATGCTTTCTGCCTTTGTTCTGTGCTGAGCATTGTGGAGCACTGGCCAGAGGACTGGGAAAGCCGAGGGCCCCACTGTGCTCAAAATGAGACCCAATATCGCCCCCTCCAACTCACACAGGTGCCTCCCTGTGAAATCTGAAACTTGAGCCGGTTGCTTTCACTACCGTATCCCAGATGCCTGGTACACAGTAGGCATGAAATAAATGTAAAATTAATGCATGTATAGATGCATGACTGAACACATGTACTTCTCTTTCAACAGCAAAGCCAAGGTTGTCTCCCCATGTATGCATGTACACACACACACACACACACACACACACACACACACACACACACACACACCAGTGAGCCTGAGGTGGCCTCCAATGGTGTCTACAGCTTCCTTAGATTCTGCTCTGCTGCCCCGTGATGCTTGATTCCCACATCCATGCTGCGGTGGCATTGAAGTCCACACAGTGCATTTTGAATAAAGATTAAAAAGTGAAAGGCAGATCCCTGACCTATTCGGAGCTGGAGAGAGACTGCATGTAAGAGTTGACAGAGTGGGGAGCTGTGGGGCTGGGGCAAAGCAGGGAATGGGTGAGGAGAGAGCCACGGCTACGCACAGGACCAGAGAGGGTCAATGCGCAGGGTCTGAAGGACTCCCCCAGTGAGAAGAGCACACAGTCAGTGTTCAAAGCGGGCTACCTCTGAAGCAGGATATGACAGCCTTGGATCCGGTTTCCCGAATGTCACGGGGAGCATTGAAGATTTGTGAGCAGGACAGAGGGACAGGCAGGGAAGCAGGGAAGCAGTTGCTGTGAACTGAGGAAGCCTGACTCTAACCCCTTGCCTTGTTCCCTCTATTTGCCATGCTACCCAAGTCCCAGCACTGCCCCAGACCTGTAATCCCTGGCTTGTCTTCTCTGGCCAGAGCTTGTGGCCCAGCAACACCACAAGTGTTCAGAGTATAGCTTTGCTCCAGAAATGGTGCCATGCCTGTCAGCCAGGCTACCTGGCAAGTGACTTCCCTCTGCAGTGCCCACCCCCACAGCTGTAGAGGGCTGATAGTAGCCCTGGCAGAGGGGCCACAGGGATGGTAGCCAATGGGTGCAGTGGGGCCTGTCTGGAGCAAGGGCCCGTTGGTGACTAGTGTTCTTGTCCTCACTAAGGGCTATTTCATCCCCAGTCAAGAAACAGTTAACTGTGAAAACCGCATAAGATCTATGTAGAATCCTACGGGCTAGCATCAGCTCTCAAGTCAGTCTCGCTCAGGTTACATTTCGTCTTCCCAACCGTGACGGGAACCACACTTTCCTCTTGCCTACCTCCAATAATGAGGGAGCTCATTGCCTCACAAAAGCTATCTAGGGACTGTGGAGACAGAGCCCACAGAAATGCCAAGTGATGTGGTGGCCTGCCTGCAGTTTAACCCTTGAATGGTGAGAGTCCCAGAGCTAGCTGGTTAGCCAGACTAGTTAGCTAAAGTTCTGGATTAGTTGAGAGTCTTAATGGAAAGTGACGGGGGAAGAGCACAGGCCTCCACATCCCACAAACCCATGTGTACACATACACAAACATGCTTAGATATGTGCACAAACACCGTATATGTGCACATGCAAACAATTTTTTTTATTTTTTAGGCTTTTTTAAAAAAATATTTATTTATTATGTATACAATATTCTGTCTATGTGTATGCCTGCGTGCCAGAAGAGGACACCAGACCCCATTCCAGATGGTTGTGAGCCACCATGTGGTTGCTGGGAATTGAACTCAGGACCTTTGGAAGAGCAGGCAATGCTCTTAACCTCTGAGCCATCTCTCCATCCCTTTTTTAAAATTTTTTTTAAAACAATTTTTTAAGATTAAAACTTTCTGAGTCAGGTGTGGCTGCACGCTCCTTTAATCTCAGCACTTGAGAGGCAGAGACAGGCGGATCTCTGTGAGTTCGAGGCGAGCCTGGTCTACAAAACAAGTTCCAGGACAGCTGGGGCTGCTGCACAGAGGAATCCTGTGTTGAAAACAAACAAACAAACAAACAAACAAACAAACAAACAAACAGATAGAAAGATAGGTAGATAGATAATAGATAAACTTTCCACCCTGTCCCTAGCATTATGAAAGTCTTTTTTTTTTTTTTTTTGAAAACAGCCCTCTACCTCTGCCATCAGAGCCAGGTGGGAGGGCCAGATGTTGCCTCTTCCTTAGTGCATACTGGTGTGTGCTCTGCATTCCACACACCTATATACACAGTGCTGGCTCTGGATTACTCCCCCATTGACCCAGTATGCCTGAAAATTCTGGCACGTACCCCTGTTCTTGAACTGAATACCTCCAAAGGCCAGTGGCCAATGTATACGTGTGTCTTCAGGCACAGTGACATGAGCATGCATGCATATGTATATAACACACACTGGCTGCACACACTCACATACACGTTTACACACATGCATCATCACACTGGCTCGCATGTGTGCATAAAAGGTACTCATGTACATGTTTGCATGTGTCTACTCAGTGCGGATACCCCAGGCACACATGCATCCACACAAGTGGTCACCCACAGTCAGTGATCCTAGGTACACACATAGGAGATGTGAAGCTGGGGACAGACTGGCCAGGGTTGTTACTGTCTGGGGAAGGATGCCCTTGGCCAGCTTTGCAGAGACACAGGTTACTGATGACGTGAAGGCCCTGGTAACGCAGATGGTCACCTAGCAACCCTGTCTCTGCAGGCAATAGTTCAGCTTTTCCTAGCAACCTTGGCCCCTGGTCCCCACCTGCCCTCTCTGGAGCGTTCCTGCAGCTCCCTGCCAGCCCATTGGTGTGGCTAGAAGCAGGAAGGGCCGGTGGCTCCATGCTGAATCAGTCACAGCATCAAGGAAGCTGTTGTCCCGGCTGACCCAGGGCTCTTCGCAGCTCCCCTCATATGCTTCAGTCCCAGGCTGGGTGTCATTGTCACAGCCCCAGGCTGACCCACTGCAGCATGGGCCCCCCTACCAGCAGAACCCGAGAGAACCAAGTAGGTGGCTGCTCCTGTCTTTGGGCTCTTGTCCTCTCCTCCTTCTGAGCTGGGATTTCAGAGGAGGAACATGCTGAAGGTGATCTACAGACCTGAACTTGGGGGGCAGGGCCTGTAGATGGTGGGGGAGGAGTAGGCTGCTAAACTTAGATACTGGCATGGCTGCTGCATCTTATTATGTAATCCAGGGGCCTGCTAGAAGCCTACCTCTGTCTACTTCTGCTCTTCTGGGACTTGGGAACTTTCTAGACGTTGAGGGGCTACTACTTCCAGGCTGGACAAGAGGGAACCCCAGCAAGTACTGAGCATACTGAGTAGGGCAAGTACTGAGTAGGGCAACATGGCCTTGGTACATGGACTCCTCTGCAGCCCTTGGTAATGCAGACAGGGTCACTGTTGTGCTAGTAAACTGCTTTGCTAGCTGAGGTTGTTAATCAAAGCATGTGTGTGATGGCCTAGCTTGCTACCCAGGCTGCCCCTGGGATTCGCTGTGAGGATGCAAACAAGAGCTGCTAAATCATGTGGGGGAAAAGCAGGTCCGTTACTGAGCCCACTTCACAGACAGGAACATTGAGCTTCGGAGCTGTGTTCTTGGCTGCCCTTCCGGGAAGTGTAAGGTTGGGCCTGGCTCCTCCAAAGTGAACCGTAGACAAAGCCAGCATCTCACTGTGTTTAGAGAGAAGAATCCAGAAGAATCCTGAGGCAGCACATAGCATTCTTATGGCTTATCCTTATCAGGCTCCCTGATCCTCTGACCTCAGACAGTCCATGTAGGACCCTGTCTTTCTGACACAAGAGTAGAAGAGGAAGCCTGGGGTTCCAGGCAGGGTGGCTCGCCCAGGCCATAGACACCTGACGGTGGGGGGGATCCAAACAAGGAGGCCTCTGACTGGTGCTGAGTGCTGTAGACAAGCCCGGCAACTGTTCTAGAAAGCCCATCCGCATGAGGCCAGCTTCTGCTTGTGGTGGGAGGCACAACACCACGATCTGTTAGGAGACCAAGAGAATATTAGAATATTACTTTGACGGAACCTAAGGCCTCGCGGATGTTAGGCAAGCTCTCTACCCTAAGAAACTTCCTATTTCTTTTAAAAAAACAGACCCAAAGAAGAACTTGCAAGATATAAATTAACATTGTTCTTTACACAATGCTGCCAGGAAGTAATTTTAACATATTTTTAGGGGTGAAGAGATGTGTGAAGGCTAATGAACCAGGACATGGTCAACAAGGCAGTGTAGACATTCAGGGTGGCAGCAGGCAGCGGAGCAAGCACCTGTACCTGGACTCACCCTGCAAAGACTGTGTAGCCACAGGGTGTCTGTGGGCCTCTCTGAACCTGGGCTTTCTAAGATGGAACCCTGGCAGGGTTATTTGGATAAAGGATCAGGGAGATGACAATGTTGCAAAGAGCTTGGCACATGCCTGGCACACAGCTCACAGAAGCTGCCATGGCCATGTGATTACAGGCTCATTCAAAATCCTTGGCAGGAGACATCATACTTCATATAGACTTCACTACAGCCTGTCTCAGCCCCGGCTTACCCACCTTGGGAGAACTGAGAAATGGTCCTTTGGGCAGATATGATACCTTGGAACATCTGCTATGAACCCCTGGGGACACGGCTCTGATGGGAGGCAGGACTTAGCTCTAACTACGAAAGTCATGTAAGAATCTGGGCTTGGAAGTACATGCGTGGAATCCCAACACCAGGAAGATCACAAGCTGTAGACCAGCCTGTGATACGTGACAAATTCTAGGCTAGCCCGAGCAGTGCAGGCTGCATTTTCAAACACACAAGTGTGTGTGTGTGTGTGTGTGTGTGTGTGTGTGTGTTTCGGGGTGTTTGAGATAGATTTCTATGCAGCTCAGCCTCAAACCTGCTATATAACCAAAGCTAGTTTTGAACTTCTTATCCTCCTGTCTCGACCTCTTGAGCACTGGGTAGACGCATGTTAACTAACGTAGCATCCTAAGTCAAGACATTCTACCTGAAAAACCTGGTTCAGATTCCTCTGAAAAATGAGATCTGATACTCCTGACCCCTCATTCCAAACGAGTGGGGGCGCCATTCACACAGATGAGAGCCCTTCTGTTTGCCACAGTCTCCTCCCTGCCGTTCCCAGGGCCTCCACAATCCCTGACCCTGTCACTCATACATACTTGCCAGCTGGGCCAGTGATGTCAGGGAGCCTTCAGCGTTGCCTTGTTGACACGGAACTCACAGGGAAGAGACAACAAGGGCCTTGGGTTAAGGTTTGTGATACTGGTTAGGTCACTTCACTTCTGTCCACCCACCCCCATACTGGGGATGGAACCCAGGGTTTTTCACAGGTTGGGCAAGTGCTCTATCACTGAGCTACATACCAGTCCTTGTTTTTCTTACATAGGCTACATACAGACTTGGGGAAACCCGGGATTCACCCCAAAGATGTTTCCTTGAATGTCCCCTGTGGTGTCATCTTTCTGGACCGATCTCCCCACTCATCCTTGAGACCCAGTGAATAAGCCACTTCCTTGGGGGAAGTCCTCTTTCCTTGTGTAATTGTGGCCTTTACTGCAGTCCCTTGTTGCAGATAGTAGTCTATCTGTGTGGATGTGATCTAGTCTCTGCCACCTCTATGTCCCCTGCTTCTGGTTGGCCCCCGGCAGGGTTTGGAAATGACAACCTTCACTGTCTCTTTCCTCTGTCTCTTGGGTCACAGTGTCCTGCTGGATAGCTGTTTGGCGGTACAGGCTGATGTGGACCAGTGCCAGCTAGGCAGAACACAGCCACAGATAACATCGCTGCAGGTAGAGAGTCCCAGGCCCAGAGAACCTGGGGCCATTAATGATGGGGTTTGCTGGTGAGCTGTCCACAGGACAGAGAAGGCTAAAATTGGAAGGGCTGATGTACGGGGTGGGGGAGGTGTGGTCCTGGAGTATAGATTCTGGGGAGGGGGGGTTGCTTGGGTAGCTTTGTCCCCTTGAGCAGGGCCTCATGGGGGTTCCCTCAGCATATGAGATAGTTCCTGGGTTTAGGGTCTTGAACTTTAATGCATATTTCCTGCTTTAGGTGGTAAGTCACCTCCTCAGATGGCCCAGGAGATGAGCTGCCCCTATTGGTACGGGGTGGGGTAGGAGTTGGGAGGAGTCCAATGAGGCACCCACTCTCCTCTCTCTGTGTCTCTGAAGGAGTTGCCAGAGGAGGAGGAGGTGGAGGAAGTGGAAGAGGAAGGGAAGGAGGAGGAGGACTCACGCTCAGCAGGTAGGAGTGACTTTGTACAAGGATGCCTCAGGGACTTTCTGGCTGGTGGCAGCTTGGGGTGGGGCCCTCTTCCATACCCTCCCTCTCCTTCCGGCCTGGGGCTCCTCCATTCTGTCCTTGGCAGAGACCCTCCTCTGTGTCTAGGAAAGCCACATTGTTTCAACTAGATGATGTCTTTCAAAGGGACCGGGGAAAGGATGCCCAGAGCATTGGGGAGTCTTGCCCCGCCAGCTCCTCGTGCAACCTCCTCTCAGGAAAAATTGTCCCAGAAGCTGTGCAGGGAGCCTGGGGGTGGAGGGGCAGAGCCCGTAAATGGCACCACCATGCCCCATCTCTGTGGCTACATCCTTTGGAGTCCGTCCTGGGTGGAAAGCTCCATCTCTACCCAGCTCTGTACTGTGGCCTTTGCCTGGGATGAGGACAATCCCAGGCCTGGTGTCCTCATCAGTGTTCTATTGTCGTGAAGAGGCACCATGACCACAGCAACTCTTCTAAAGGAAAGCATTCAATTGGGGCTGGTTTACAGATTCAGAAGTTTAGTCCATGATTGTCATGGCGGGGTGTGGGGGGGAGCATGGCTGCACACAGACAGACTCGGTGTTGGAAAGGTAGCTGAGAGTTCTACCTCTGCATTGGCAGACAGTAGGAAAGAAGAGAGACCCTGGACCTGGCTTGAGCCTTTGAAAACTCAAAGCCCACCCTCAGTGGCACACTTCCTTCAACAAGGCCACACCTAAGAGTGCCACTCTCTATGTGCTATGGGGGCCTATTTTTATTCAAACCACCACACCTGGTATCCCCAGGGATTGGGTGCTAAAGAGGAGGCTGGACCATTGCCCCTGGGCAGATGACATTGTGGCCTGCAGGACTGCATTCCCCCATGTTCTGCCCTTCAAGCTTCTGGTCCTTGAGTTGCCTGGTGATGCTGGTAGATTATTTTACTGATAGCAAAACTAAGGCGTGGTGTGTCCCAGTGTAGGAAAGTGAAGCCACAGACTACATTGGCTTCTGGCTCCTCCTTGTTGTGGAGCTGTGGAACCCAGAGGTAGCTCTGTCAGAGTGGAGCAGGGCTAGGACCTCCCACACAGGCTGAATGGCAGCGCAGCCTTCCACTCAAACTCTTCTCTATCGCCATCAATACTCATCTCTAGGAACCTATGATGTTCAGGCTGGACCCTAGACATCCACAGAGATGTGAAGGCTAGAACAAACAGCACGCTGGCTCCATCTCCTCCCCCCAGGCAGTCTTGGAAAGTGGTGCTTACTCCTACTCAAAAGCTGACACCTCAGTGTCCCCTAGAAACTGCTTAGAAATACAGAATCCAGGTCCTACCAAGCCCCGCGGAGCCAGGATCTGCCTGCTGTCTGCCTCACTGTCTGGTGACTGTCCTCATGTTAGCATTTGAGGCAATATCTTTGAATCCCACTTCTCAGATAGCTGGAGCAAGGCTGGACAGCAGGACCACGGAAGCCTCTTCAAGGGATTCTAGCCCCAGGGTCCTAGCGCTGTGTCTGTTTCTGACTGGAACAAAGATGAATTGGTGGCAGGGTTTCTTTAAAGAGGAAATTGTTCTGAGCTCAGCACGTTGGAGCCTGGTTTCTGAAGTTCCAAGTCTTCCTGCTCCAGATTCTGAGTCTGTTATCTTTTGAATTTGACACGGGGAATACTATTATGGTTGATAAGCAGACCCATGGCTCCAGGAAGAGGCTTGGAACTACTGGGTGGACCATCTGTGTCCCTCGGTGATGCTTCTAAGGCTGAGTGTTGGGAAAGAGAGTGATGCTTCAGGCCTGAACAGTCTATGTCAGTACTTGGGAGGAGCCCTGCCCTCACTACCTTCCTCAACTCAGTTCCTGATTACAGTCCCCAGGGTCACGCCTCTGCCTGCCACCTTCTGGACCCAGTACCATGGCTAAACCAGGCCTGAATATGGAACTGAATCACTTGGTCCAGGACCAGCCACCTGGCCAGGAGGGACCCAGGCCTGGCCCCCCAAACCCAGCCGAGCACCTCCCCAATGTGCCCAGCTATCGTCCCGCAATCACCCGCATTCCTGTCCTCGTTTCCCGGAGGACAACCTTGTCCAACTCCAACTTCGCCAAGGAGACCAGGAGCTCCATCCGTCGCCTGGGTAGCGTGATCTTGCCCCAGCATGCTTGGGACGTGGCACAGTAGTTTCTGCATGGCTTGGGCTGTCTTTCCACCTCTGTGGCGTGCTGCGGGAACTTGCTTTGAGCTCATGGAGTTCTCTTTCTTCTAAATACCTCCCTCCCACTTTGCAATGACTTAAGGGGGTTTGGTCCTTTTCTTTCCATATGCCTGAAATGTTACAGTCAGTGATTTAGTTCTTTGAGTACATTTACTTTCTGCACATCATACACAAATATACGGGTAGTTATCCCCACTCTGTTTTTTTTTTTTTTAAATAAGTCAGCCCTAGCCGGGCGGTGGTGACACATGCCCCTAATCTCAGCACTTGGGAGGCAGAAGCAGGCAGATCTTAGTGAGTTCGAGGCCAACCTGGTCTACAAGAAACCCCTGTCTCGAACACCCCCCCCCCAAAGTCAGCTCTTTAGACCATGAAGCTTGGGAAGAATGCTGGTAGAAGGGGTAGGGGGTCACTTCCATCCCTAATTGAAGTTCTGTGGACAGTCAATAGCTTCTGCAGGAGTGGGAGTCAGTTTTCTTTTAAGGCTATGGCTTCTGGTAGGTCAACCATGCCCCCATAGATGGCCTCCTACCCAGAAGTTTACATGAGGAACACAAATTGGAGTTGATAAGTTATTATAAAAAAATAAAAAGGACATGAAGGTGGGGGGGGGAGTAGGAAGGTGGGGTGGGCCTGGGAGGATTCGGGAGTGAATATAATCAAAATACATTGTATGAAATCCTCAGGAATTATAAATAAAAAATGTTTTTAGGGGCTGGAGAGATGGCTCTGTGGTTTAAGAGCACTGTCTGCTCTTCCAGAGGTCCTGAGTTCAATTCCCAGCAACCACATGGTGGCTCACAACCATCTGTAATGAGATCTGACGCCCTCTTCTGGTGTACGGGCATACATGGAGGCAGAATGTTGTATACATAATAAATAGTGAATCTTTAAAAAATGTTTTTAAAGGAGGGAATCAGATGGTGGGGTGGTGTGAGGTCCATTGTAGGTAGACTTGCCTGACTGAGAGTCTGCTGGGCTTTCTGAGCGTCATTGGTATCTACTATTTCAAGGACAGTGGAAGCAGGCAGGCGCAAGTAGGAGAAGCAGGCGGGTGCAGGCAGGCCGGGAGAAGGGGTTCTCAGGATTCAGTGCAGATTGAGGGCCTGTCCAAACTAGTCCTTGGGCTGCTACTGCTAACTGACTAATAAATGGCAAGGTACTTGGGGACTACAGGTGCCCTGAGGTAACCTCTGTCCCCTTCTGCCTTGGTGTAAGCCAGTCTGCCCACTTCCCCTTTGATGTAACAGACATTTGTGCTAACACTGGGCCAGGCTGTCTCCAAGATCAGAGCAGGTAGCAGGAACAGGATACTCCATAGAAAAGGGTCTGGTTGTCCTTGTCTGTTCTTCCCGAATCATGTGGGCACAGAATGGGGCAAGGATACTCTAATCCTCCCTACAATGAAGGGTGACAACCAGGCTCTGTCTGCTGCTCCACAGAATCCCTAATTTCTGCCCCTTTTCTGGACTTTCTTATTGTTTTTATCTAATTATACGTAAACAGGAAGACTTTCAATGGCTAGTCAAATGGACAACTGGCATGGCTTGCCCTAGACAGAAGGTGTCAACAGTTTGCTTCTGTGTTGCAGTGATAAAATGTTGAACAAAAGCAACTAGGGTTTATTTCAGCTTATACTTCTGGGTCCATCACGGAAAGAAGCCAACACAGGCTCTCAAGGCAGGAACCTGGAGCAGGAAAGGTATGCCGCTTTCTCCCATTTCCATTAGCAATTAAGAAAATACTTTCTAGACATGCCACAGGCTAATCTGATGGAGGCAACTCCCAATTGGAAACTCAGATAAGTCTGGGCTCTGTCCAGTTGATAGGTAAAGCCAAATAGGAGGCGAGGCCTAGCCCATCCCTCAGGAAGACTGAAGCAAGAAACCAAGACTCTACCTCAAAACAAAAACAGCGAATGCCTCCCCATACACCAAAAAAACAAAAAAAAACAAAAAAAAAAAAACAAAAAAACCCCACAACCACCCAGAAACAAAAGCAGAAACAGACAGCATCAGTGGGAATAACCACAAATACATGAAAGAAAATGGAGCTGTGAGCTTCTCATGCGATATAGAGCCTGCTGAAGGCTTGGAGCCCAGAGGGGCTTCCTCTGTGCCAGGCTGTGGAGCATTGACCTTGGTGGGAGAGTGAGGACCATGGTGTCATGGTCTCATTCTCTGCCTCCCCTTTTCTGGTCTGTGCATCTGGAACCATCTAAGTCATCCCGAGACCTGGGGACTCCACCTGGGAAAGACTCCCAGTGGTGCTGTGAGGGTGCGGCTGGCCCAGGGACGCCCCAGCACCAGGATTTTAGTGCTGCTGCGGAACAGCAGAGCGCAGCAAGCATGTTGATCGGGTGTGGTGGTGCCGGCCTGCAATCAATCCCAGCACTTGGGAGTTCAGGCTAGCCTGGGTTACATAGCAAGACCTTCTCTTCAAACAAACGGAAAACAGCAAAGCTGGCCGTTGGTTACTCATGCCTAAGGGCTTCTGAGCTGGGTGTGGTCTGCACTGAAGCAGGGTTCTGAGCTTTCCTGTCCCACAGTTCCCTGAGGGACAAGATGGAAACTGAGTAACAACACAGAACAGATGGGGAAGCTGACAGGCCCTGCCTGACTGCTGAGAACCTATGACCCCTGACTCTCAGGAAGCTGGGGTGAGACCATGGGTTGAGCTCACACCACATAGTCAGCTCAAACCTCAGCAAGACCCCATTTCAGTGGGGGGGGGGACTAGATGTAAATACTGAACATTTAAAAAGCAATAACAGAAGCCCAGCAATAGTGGTACATGCTTTTCATTCCAGCACTCAAAGGCAGAGGCAGATAGATCTCTGTGAGTTCAAGGCTAGCCTGGTCTACAAAGTGAGTTCTAGCACACTCCTGTAAACCAGCACCGTACAGACTGAGGCAAGAAGACTGGAAATTCAAGGCTAACATGGGCTACATAATGAAACCCAAGAAGGAAAGAAGGAAGGAAGGAAGGAAGGAAGGAAGGAAGGAAGGAAGGAAGGAAGGGAAAGGAAAGGAAAAGAGGGATGGAGGGAGGGGAAGGGGTGGAAGGCATACTGGCCAGCAAGATGGTTCAGTAGGTCAGGTGCTTGTTGACAAGCCTGGTGATCAATCCCCAGAATGGAAGGGGAGAATCATTTCCTACAAGTTGTCCTGTGACCTGCACACACACACACACACACACACACACACACACACACACACACACACACACACACAATGGCATGTACTTACACACCACATGTAATAAATAAATGTAATTTTTTTTTCAAGACAGAATTTCTCTGTATAGCCCTGGCTGTCCTGGAACTCTATAATCCAGGCTGGTCTTGAACTCAGAGATCCACCTGCCTCTGCTTCCCAAATACTGGGATTAAAGGTGTGTGCCACCAAGCCTGGCTCAATAAATGTAATTTTTAAAAACTTCCCAAGACAAAGGGAAAGGGAGGGAATACATTGTAAGTACTTAACAGTAAACATTCTCTCACTATTCTGGTAGTCCTTCTCTTTCTAATATTCTTAGTGTAGATCAATCTAATATAAACCTGTCTCACCTGAACTGCCCTCTACCAGCTGGTTGTCCCCCCACTCCGTTGGGGGTGTGGCGGTGACAGAGTCCTGCCTAGGGCAGGCAGGGGTAGAGGGCATTCCCTGCTGGCTCCCTGAGTCATACTTGCTGAGAATGGAGCAGACTGTATGCACATGCTGGACCTGGAGCTGAGGTTATGGGGGCAGCGTTGGGACCCTGAGGTCTAAGTTTTGCTGTCCTTCCTCTTCTGCTCCCATGGTGACAAGTGGGCAGTGGATGAGGCCTCTCCTCTTCTCCTGAGCCTGGAGGACCTCTTGTCAATCTAGCACAGTGGTTCTCAACCTTCCTGATGCTGCAACCCTTTAGCACAGTTCCCCAACCAAAAAATTATTTTATTGTGCTACTTCATAACTGTAATTTTGTTATTGGTAGGGATCCTTTTTTTTCCCCTTGGTTTTTCAAGACGGGGTTGCTCTGTAGCTTTGGGGCCTATCCTAGAACTTGCTCTTGTAGACCAGGCTGACCTCAAACTCACAGAGATCTGCCAGCCTCTGCCTCCTGAGTGCTGGGATTAAAGGCGTGCGCCACCATGGCCTAGTTGAGAAATCTTAATTCAAATATCTAACATATAACCCCTGTGGGAGTCGAGGCCCACAGGTTGAGAATTGCTGAATTCTAGCAAATTTAAGTGTTTAAAACACTTTCCCATTCGTGTTTGTCTTCCTCCGGGGATGGGGAACATATGACTTTAGCAAAACAAACACCCAGGCCTGAGGCCCCCCTTTCCTTCCCATCGGATGCTGTAAGCTATGCACTGGATTTTCCATGGTGGCCGTGGGCAGAAGCATCCCAGGGACAGTGATTTCGGAGTGCCTTTCATGCCTTGCTGGAGAGCAGGCTTGTGTCCCGCTGCCCGTAAGGCTCCCTACTGGGTACAGTCAGCCCTCCAGTGTCCTCTAGGTCCCCAAGGTGCCACATGCAGACCCCCCAGGAAGTACTTGATCCTGAGAAAGAAGGCCCTGGCTTTTCAGAGGTCCAAATAGACAACAGGTGACTTCTGGGGGCCTCTGGTATAGATGCTAATACTCTCCAAAGCAGATTCCTGAGGAAACACGTGGCTAAGACAGCAATACATCTGAACTGGAGCCCCTTCAAGAATCCAAGGCCTCCTGCTCTCCCTACAGGCGTGGAAGGCGTAGTTTCTCCTACCTTGAGAAAGGAACAGATGGGCCTGTCTGTGTGACACTTAGTCCCAGCCTCCCCAGGTCACTGCTGCTTGCCACACTGGGAAGTTAAGAGAGAGCAATGAGGCTGAATCCAGCCTCTGCGTCTGGGGCTGGGGTGGTAGTAATAAGCAAGGGTCTCAGGCTGCATGGAACTTGGCTGGGAACTTCAGCGGGGAGACATAGCCACCAGAGACCCTTGAAATACAGCCCCAGGACCTGACTTCTCTCTTTGACTATCCCTTTCTTCCTCTTCCCAGTACCAGGCACAAAGGACCACCCAGAGCTTCAGGTAGAGGACACGGATGCTGATGCTGACAGTCTCCCCCTCATCCCAGAGGAGAAGGTCCCTTCACCAGAGAGACCACCCTCTCCTACCAAATCTGATACCCTCAGGGTCCCGGGCTCTGCTGCAGCAGTCCACAGGTTAGTCATGATGATTTGCTTGGGCTTTTGTCCTCGTGGTGGCACTAGCCCATCGGACAGATGATGGGAAACAGCAGGGCTGAGATCTCCTCTGCCGGTGGTCCTGAGAAGCGTTCTCAGAGTCCTAGCCCAGACACCCTCAGCTGCAGAACAGGGAGATGCTACCACAGAAGGCAGATCATTACATATACACTAAGTGTGACAGCTAACTCCTACCTCCTTTTATTTTGTTCTATACTACATTCAGAATATTGCTTCCGAAAGAACGCACATGATTATGATTGGCAGAGTACTAGGCCTTGTTTATTTTTCCTCTCATTTTTTTTTCCTAGCTCAGGACCTTGCACACTAGTCAAGGGCTCACACTCCCAGCATCTCTGAACAGTTTAAAAACGTGTCTATTTATTTAGCGTGTGCATGCGCCATGGCGTGCATGCAGGGGTCAGAAGACAGCTTTGTGGCACCGATTCTCTCCATCTACCTTTGCGAGATACTGGGGGTTGACCTTCGGTCTCCAGGTTTGTGCGGCAAGCACCTTGTCCGACGAAGCCATCTCATCCACCAGCACCCAGGGCCTCCTTTTTGAACTGAACCACTTGACTGTGTTATTACAGTGTCATGGCTAAAGTACACAGCCAGACCATCCTCTGGGCCCCTAGCTGATCCTAGTGCCACTGAGTTCAGCACACGGACCCCCATCCTCACAACCGTGCACACGCTGTAGCTGCATTCTGTCCCACAAGCCCAGGCATGCTTAATTCACAAGCTTCCTGCCTCTGCTCCCCCAGGGCTGTGACTATGGAGGTGCGCTGTCACACCTATCCTAACCTCTTTTATTTTTTGTGTGCCAAAGGACCTTTCTATGTGGGCCCATCCGCGTGCTTTGCCATGTTGTTCTCACGTGAGGAATACTCACGTTTAGGTCCTAAGCCCTCATCTTGTTCCCTGCTGTTCCAAGCCCTCCCTCAACAAACTAATGCATTGCCTTCGTGTGCTAACATGCCTATCTGTGTCCCCAGACTCTGGGTTCCATGTGTTTACACTGGGTGTTTTGTGTTTATATGCTAATATGAGTCTTTGGGAAATGGCCATTTTTCTCTTCTACGTTCATTACCTCACGTTTGCTTCGAAGCCATGTGCTGATAGCATGTGTGTCTAATCTCAGCACTCAGGAGGCTGAGGCAGGAGGATCACAAGTTTGAGAACAGTTCAGGAAACATGACAGGACTCTGTTAAAAAATGGGAAAGAAACCGAGAGAAACACACACACACACACACGCACACGCACACACCAGACAGGCACACACACACACACACACATACCAGACAGGCACACACAGAGATACATAGACACGCAGAAATCATTCCTAACTGTTGACCTGACCTGCATCCTCCAGATACCACCTATGTGTTTCTGTATTAGCTTGCTCTACTCTACCCTAAGCAGATGTTTCTCTGAGGCTGGGGATGGGTTTTTTGGTAATGTTAAGAAATCTCCGTCTTTCTCAGGTTTTTTAATTCCTCTATAAAGCAACTCATCCCCACTTTTGAAGGTGGAAAAGTCCAGAGAATTAACCCTAGAATGCCAGTGTCAAATAGGTCCAAGGGCCCCGCTGCCCACAGCAGATTTAATCAGACAAGATACTAGTGGCTCCAAATGCAGCCGTCTGTGGTCTTCCTGAATGACGGGGCTCCCCCCGGATAACTTAGCTTCCTTCTTTAGTCAGGAGCCTAGCAATAAGGAGGGCACTTGTTCAAGGTCACACTGTGATCTGGAGAATGAACTCCTGGCTTTGTCTCACAACTGAAGGGTGGTATGATATGGGGATGGGGTTGGGAAAACTTCAGATCAGAAATACGAGGCAGAAGGACAGAAGGACACTTAGCAGAGACTTACGTAAGGGATAGCACCTCTTTATGTCACTGGGTAGATTCAGTGCTGCTTATGGAAGAAGAGAAGGAGGCACTTTAGCATTTAAGTACTGTGCCAAGGTCGGACTCTAAGTTTACCTGATACTAAGTCCATGCTGTGCACTTTGGGCCAGGCCACTGAGAGGTGTACAGACTGAGGTCCCAAGATCAGGCCCTCTCTCCTCCCAAGAACCAGCTCAAAGCCCGTCAGTTACTTCCGTTAGGCGGCCTTCTCTGAAGGGCGTATGCCTGTCTGGGTCCCTACAGGAAGAAGCTACCTTCTCAGGACGATGAAGCCGAAGAGCTCAAGGCACTGTCACCAGCTGAGTCCCCAGTGGTTGCCTGGTCAGACCCCACCACCCCACAGGAGGCTGAGTAAGTGTGTGTGTGGGGTCAATATGGAGAACCACGCATTAGCTATGTAGACTAACCTCTTGGAATAAACAGGTCCCGATGGTCCAGCGGCTAAAAAGACAGAATTCCTCATATGTTATAGCCACAGATCTTTGTGTTTTTCAGGTCAGTGGAAGGTTCTGTTTCATGCAATCATTTAGGGACCCAAGTGTCAGTGACTCTGCTCTCTTTGTGCAGCTTATAAGAAGTTCTGGTCAAGACGAGAGAGAGGAAACTTGAGCCACACATGGTGGCACAGGCCTACAATCTCAGCTACTGCAGAAGCTAAGGGAGTGAAGTGGGTCTGATATTGTCAGGAAAAAAAATGGCTGGAGCGGCCTCCCTTGGGTTCTGCTAGAAGTGGAGGCATAGACATTACTCAGCATAGGCCTGGGGTCCTGGACGCTCTTCCTGCTTGGTGTTTATCCTCGGCCTTGCTCCCACAGTGGTCAGGACCGTGCAGCCTCCACAGCCAGCCAGAACAGTGCCATCATCAACGACCGGCTCCAGGAGCTGGTGAAGCTGTTCAAGGAGCGCACGGAGAAGGTGAAGGAGAAGCTCATTGACCCCGATGTCACCTCCGATGAGGAGAGCCCCAAGCCCTGTGAGTGGGGGTGGAGGTGGCCACGGGCCAAGGAGGGTGGGGTGCCCGAAGAACCTCATCACCTACTCATGGGGAGAGTGGCATAGGCAAATGGTTGGGGTGTGTGAGAAAAGCCCAGACCCCCAAACTCTGAATTTGGGGCTTAGAAGTGTACTCAGGAGAGGAAGAAAGTCAAAAGTGAACTTGGTCTTCCCACAGCCAGTGGCTTATAGACTCTTCTGCCTCCTTCTCCCATAGGGGAGGGGCTGGGATGTCTATCTCAGGCTGGCTCTCAGGGCTAGCACAGCTGCTCTGGGAACAGTCTCTCTCTCTCTCTCTCTCTCTCTCTCTCTCTCTCTCTCTCTCTCTTTCTCTCGGCCTGGCTGTCCTGGAACTCACTCTGTAGACCAGGCTGGTCTCAAACTCAGAGATCCTACTGCCTCTGCCTCCTAAGTGCAGGGATCAAAGGCATGTGCCACCGCCGCCCAGCAGCAGGCTGTCTTTATGTTCAGAGGCACAGATGCCTTGCTGGGGCCAACTGAATAGTTATTTTTTTCTTTTTTGAGACCAGATCTCATTCTATAGCCCCAGCTGGCCTGGAACTCACCCAGTAGCCCCAGGTTGGCTGGGAACTCAAGGCAATCCTCTGACATGCTGGAATTACAGGTGTGAGCCAGTGTGCTGGTCTAACGTCTCCTTCCTTTAAGGAGTTGTCCAGCAAGGTGATAAATGTCTGGAATCCCTAGCACTTGGGAGTCTGAGGCTGGAGGATCACAAGTTTGGGGCTAGCCTGAACTAAATAATGAGATACTATCAGAAACAGAAACAAAGACAGAGAAAGAAAATTTACAAGAATGAACTCAAACATGTTTTTCTTTTTCTTTTTTAAATAGAATCTCACTGTGTAGCCCTGACTGGCCTCTAACTCACTTTGTAGACCAGGCTGGTCTTGGACTCACTGAGATCCACCTGCATCTGCCTCCCAAGCATTGGGATTAAAGGTGTGTGCCCCTATACTACAAGTGTTTTGTCAGGGATATTTTCTAGGTTTTTCTGACGAGGGTTGTACACTGGGACTCAAATGTCCATGATAGATTATCAGAGACCGACTTCACACTCCTAACACTAGAAACACAGCCGTGTTGGACCCTAAGAGCCAAGGTACAGCACCACAGACCCACGGGAGGCCGAATCCCAGGCAGATAATGGAGCTGAGCCCTACTCTGAGAAGTCAGAATTCACAGGTCCCCGAGCTGGTTGAATCCTTCAGCATTCTGAGTAAGGAAGATGGGAGCATGGGCGTAAAATGCCTTGCTCATCAAAGGAGCAATGAGTCCACTGACATACAGACATTGACAGACAGACTCACATACATGCACACGTGCACACGTGCACATGTACACACACACACACGCACACGCACTGAGATAAAGTGTGCTCTCAAGGAGCACCTCCTGGCTGGAGTATAGGAAGAGCTGCCAGGGATTCCACGCTGCTGTGAAAGAGGGGGCCATGGAGTTGGCTCCCAGGGAGCATTTCGACTTCTGCACTCAGAGTTTGTGAGCGAGTTGTGTGTTCGGATGTGTGGAGGCCTTGCAGTCCCAACTCTGTGGGTGGGACCCTTTCTCTCATATTCTCCACAAAGCCTCAGGGCTGGGTCAGATGGTCACTAGTGTCATCCCACAGCCCCAGCCAAGAAGGCCCCAGAGCCGACCCCCGCCCAGAAGCCCGCAGAGGCGGAGGCAGCAGAGGAGGAACACTACTGCGACATGCTCTGCTGCAAGTTCAAGCGCAGGCCCTGGAAGATGTACCGGTTCCCCCAGAGCATCGACCCGCTGACCAGTGAGTCCCCTCAGAGGGGGTCACAATTCCTCACACTTAACAAAAATGATTCCACATATCCTTGCCTGATTCTTTAACACAAGTCCCCGGGCTAGGGACATAGATCACACCCATTTTACAGATGAAGAAGCGGAGGCACAAAGGAATGAACTACCTGAGAAGCAGCCAATTAGACTCCCCACCTTGACCTTGCTAAGTCTTCTTTCTAAGCTGGCCAGGTGGGCTCAGAGCAGGGGCAAGGTGGAGTCCGTCCTAATTCAGAGTAGATTCCCATGATCCTCTGTAGTCCAGACCATAGTGCTCCAGCCCAGCACCCACCACGTGTGCACCACACTTTACAGTTCACACTGGAGCCCCTTGCCTTCTCAGCTGGTGATTTCTTGTGACCTTGAAAAGACCAAGGCAGGTGCCAGGGAGGAATATCTTAGTTAAACAGGGAGTCACCCAGAAGTAGGACCCCAACCCTTGATGTTTACTGGGTTTCTAAGATACCAAGTCATCTCTAGTCTGCCCAGGTATCCACCCACATCTGTGTCCATCTGTCTGTCCATTCCCCCTATGTCATTTACTATTCTAGAATTTCTAAGACAGAAAGTTTATCGTTTAAAACTGTCCATGGGCTGATGACGTAGCTCAGAGGGTAAATATGCCAGCCAGGACTTACAACGTAAGTTCCATCCCCAGGACCCACATGGTGAAAGGAAAGAACCAACTCCTGAGAGTTGACCTTCGACCTCCAAAATGCTCTGTGGTACCCTTCTGCCCCTCCATAAATAAATGGACGTAATACAAAATTTTGAAAGAGGGAAAGCAAAGGAGGTTTCCACTTAGCTGTCTGTTATCCAATAACGTCACCATGCCCCCTCATCAGAAGACTGTGACCTTTCAGGGCCCATCAGTGACCTCCATGCCCACCTATCCCCTCATCCCCTCATCTACCCATCTGTCTGTCTATCTTCCATGGAGCCCGGGGGAAGCGTCCCCTCTTGCTGGCCTCCAAGCCCATCCCTGTCGCCCCTCAGATCTCATGTACATCTTGTGGCTGTTCTTCGTGGTGCTGGCCTGGAACTGGAACTGCTGGCTGATCCCCGTGCGGTGGGCCTTCCCATACCAGCGGCCGGACAACATCCACTTCTGGCTGCTGATGGATTACCTGTGTGATCTCATCTACCTCCTGGACATCACCGTGTTCCAGATGCGCCTGCAGTTTGTCAAAGGCGGGGACATCATTGTGAGTCACAGGCCGGCGGTGGGGAGAGGGTGGCCTGGGCCTTCAGGGGACTGACCTTTGATGCTGCGGCAGGCGATGGAAGGAATGACAAGGAAACCCTGCAGCAGCTGATCACGGTTGTGTGTGTTGGTTGGTTCTGTACCACTTGCATGTGTTCACATTATACACATCAGATGCCATCCAGGGATGAACTGCTTTCTGGACCACCTAATAGAGTTAAAGAAGTGGTCCAGAGAATAAGCATCTGGGGCTGGTGCACCTGCATCAAAGTCTAACTGAAGCCTTATCTGAGCTTCAGCGTCCTCATCCATGAACGGGGTGGTAACAGCACCCTATGATGCAAGTATTTCTGTGAAACTAGATGTTGCATGCAGAGTGCGGGGCTCAGGAGCTGAGTGCCTCCTGCCGAGGGCACGGTGATGATCTGCTATATGGACCAGCCTGAGCTGGCCCCTTACTGAGGGGAAACCAAAGCCCTGACTGTGACCCAGCTGGTGTGACCCATGCCTGGGACTCAGGAGGTTGAGGCAGGTAGAGCTGAGTTTGAAGCTACATCAGGCTGTGTAGTCAAAAACCTGTCTTTTTGTTTGTTTGTTTGTTTTAAATATATTTATTGTGTACACGGTGTTCTGTCTGCATTTTTCCTGTACACCAGAAGAGGACATCAGATCTCATTACAGATGGTCGTGAGCCACCATGTGGTTGCTGGGAGTTGAACTCAGGACCTCTGGAAGAGTAGCCTGTGCTCTTAACCTCTGAGCCATCCCTCCAGCCCCTGTTTGTTTGTTTTTTGAGACAGGGTATCTCTGTGTAGATCTGGTTGTCCTGGAACTCACTCTGTAAACCAGGCTGGCCTTGAGCTCAGAGATCCATCTGCCTCTGCCTCCCAAGTGCTGGAATTAAAGGCTTGTGCCACCACTGCCTGGCAAAACCCTGTCTTAAAAACATACCGGCTTGGAGTGGGGGGAAGGGGTAGGAGAAAGGAAAGGAAAAGAGAGACAGGCATCCCAATTCCCATCTCTGTGAGCAAGTCGTTTCCTAAAATTCCACACCAAGGGCTGGGTGTGTAGCTCAGCGGTACTTGCCTAGCTCCCAAGGCCCGGGGTCCATCTTCACCATTGCAAAGTTAAAAAAAAAAAAAGTCCGCAGTACAGCAAAGCTGGGGCTTTCTTTTCAAACAGCTTCCAAGTGGCCTCTTCTTCTGAATTAGAGTTTCCTTTGATACTTACTGGCTGTAAGTATCAATGGAAGAGGTCAGGCCATTAATATATAGAAGGGGGCTGACAAGGAGGCAAAAACATATTAGGGAAAGGTTTTGGCCGCTTTCATTATGTTAATAAGAATTATGAGGGAGCCAGGCATGGTGGCACACACCTATAATCCTAGCACCCAGGAGACAGAGGCAGGGAGGATCTTTGTAAATCTGAGGCCAGCTTGGTCTACAGAGGACCCTGTCTCAAAACAAAATGAGTCAAGGTCTCTGGAGAGATGGCTCAGCAGTTATGAACACTTGTTGGTCTTCCAGGGGACCCAACTTCAGTTCCGGCACACACATCGGGTAGCTACGGGGGATCCAATGCCCTCTTCTGGCCTCTGTGGACACCTGCACACAAACATACACACACACAGACACACACACACAGACACACACACAGACACACACACACAGACACACACAGAGACATGCACACACACACACAGACACACACAGATACCTACACACACACACAGAGACCACACAGACACACACAGACACACACACAGACACACAGAGACGCACACACACAGACACACACGCAGACACGCACACACACAGACATGCACACACAGACACACACATACACACACAGACACGTGCGCACACACAGACACGCACACATACAAACACACACACAGACACACACAGACACGTACACACAGAGACACACACACAGACACGCACACACGAAGAAAAATAGATCTTTTAGCAAAAAGAATAATTTGATAAAGAAAAAAGGAAAATCAATAGTGTTATAAAGCTAATTATTAATCTATATTGAGTTTTTGAGTGCCATGTAAGGGGGTCGCTTAACAGTTAGTAAAATAAAATGTAACAGTTAAGGTCTGGGACATTGTACCATATGCAATGGGTGCCATAGCAAGGAATGTTAGGCCAACAGCTGCTTCACAGACCACAAACGCTATTGTTAACAACAGGCACCGTGAATTAAAGTGTAGTACGAATCCAAAATCTCGGAGCCTGTGATATCCTGAGACAGCATATGCCAGAAATGGAAGTGTTGGTAACAATCGAGGAGTCATTGGCCAGATTCCTCCCTAGTACCATCAGAGAATTGCCAGCTTCTCACAAATCAAGTGGCTAGTCGTCCTGGAGGAGCTGAGGGTCCCCACTTGTCGTCCTGGAGGAGCTGAGGGTCCC